AGTTTAAACGAAAAAAAATTTCAGATAATTTCAAGTTTCAGGTTATGTCGTACCTCTTTCTTTTATCATTGGGAACTCGCGCAAGCGTAAGATGTTCTTGTCTTTGATACGATTGGAGTTTATTCTTAAATCCAAAAAGGCCGCAAACGATGTTAACGGCAAAAACATTCATGTTTAATGAACTGATTCATTTTTATTTTTTTATTTTTATAATAAACTGATTCATTTTTCAAAATAAAATTGAAAAAAACGTTAAACGAAGTTCGGGAACATTTTAAATAGAAACCGCGAGACCGTTGAAGTGATAAAAAAAACGAGTTCAATCGAACTTTTTGTGTTTAGAAATTGCTGTGGTCTTTAAGTTTATGCATGCCTTTTGAAATTCGCGAGGTTCTGAACACCAACTTTTCGTTGCCGGTTATTCTGGAATGAACTTCTTTTTGCAAAATAAAATGTGGATATTCAAAGCACCTGTTACAGAAATAAAACCAAAAGTGTTTGGTTGAGACATTTATTTTACGGGTTTAAAAAACTACGCTTACACTGAACCAAAGCTTCGGGGCGACCCGACCTAACTCGAAAAGTTAATTAAAAATGATCAAAATGTTAGGAAATGTGCGAATGGGTGCTCGTATCAGCAGCTCTGCTTAAATCCAAAAGGCTGACTGAATCAATTTATGGAAAAACAAAATCGAAAAAGTTGCGGCGTCAAAACTTATACATATTGTTAAACTTTTTCTTCTTACGCCTTTGTACCGCTTGACCGGCGTCGGTGCTCAAGTCAATTAGCTGAGGTCCTACTCTACTGTATTCGTGCAAAGAGCAGTGCCTGTGCCGGTACTTTGCAAAAAGTTGCATACATCAAGCAAGCAAATCATGTATATACATATTATAAATATTTTGAAACATCTTTTTTTGAGGCTTGCTAAAATCTAGTTCTTTTATTTTCAACATGTAGCCTTCTCTAACAAGTATTTTTGTGTTTTGACCACCACTTTTTGAAAAAAAATTTTTTTAAAGGTCACCTTTGTTGGTTTATTTTTCTCTTTTATTACAACTTATGATTTTATATCCGGGGACTATTTTTGAATACAAACTAGTTTAACTGTTTTTCACCTGTCCTAACGCCCTCCCCCTCCCTTCTTAATCAGAATCACAATTTTTTTATCCCTACTGAGATGGAAGTTGTACCAACGTCGGCGATTGTTCATTTCGTGAACGATGCGATACATCCCGACAAGTTGAAAGTTTATATAAATATCGTAATTGTTTTTGTTTCTATTCAATTCGTTTTTCTTGTTGCCCTTCATATCATCTTCATTGGAATCCTTATGAAGTGTCATCCAGAAGACAAGCAGGTAAAAACAGATACAAAGTTATTTTAAGCTTTTGGGAACCTCCGCGAAACTGGACAGAAAACTTATTGATCTCCAAGAATAAGGACCTTATGCCCTCCCGAAAAACTTTGCTTTTTTCTATAAATCGGGGCTCGAAGTATCACACCAGAACGTTTCAGCAGTTTTTTTCTTTTTGAGATGGGTTTTCATCAAAAACTAGGAGTTCGTGCTGTTTCGGAACTCTAATACCTTCTCCTGGAACATCAAGAATTATTCTAGGAGAATCTCCAAAACTGAAACTTTAGTTTCTTCAAACGGAACTCAGGGTAATAGAGATGGCCAAGAAAAGTTGTTTTTGTTTTCAGTTCGATTACTATGCAGCTATAATATATATGGAGCTCATAAGTATACTTGGCTTCGCGGGTTTCATTGTGGTTTCCGCAGGAGCCTTTTTGTTTCATTTAAACTCACTGAATCCGTTTCTTAAATCCTGTCTCCTCATTTCTTTGATCAGCCCTCACACCCTGATATTTATCGACGCTTTTTTATGCCTTCATCGAATTTTTAGCTTTTTCGAAGTCGCGGAAGGCTTCCGCAAAAAGTTCAAATGGTAGGCTTTCGAGTAACTTTTTCACACAAGTCAAACACACCACAAACGTTTACAAATAAACGATTGTCAAACTAATCTGCTATCTCTGATTATCTATCTTATATTTACCAACTTTTATTATCTTTTTTTGTATTAATTACAAAGGCGCAGCTTAGCTAATGAACTCTACGCCAATTTTTTCAGAAACATTGTATAATTAATCCATCCGGACATGAAAGGCGGGAGAGGCGGAAAAGTGCGCGGCTCGCGTAGAATGTGCGCACGCGTTTCTTTACAACAATTCAACTTAACCACCACCGACTTTTTGAAACACTCTTTAACCGCTCTTTTTCTATCTGTTCTACTATTTTGAAATGTGAGAATGAAAATAAATAAATCAATAAAAATAAATAAAAAGAGCAATTAACGAGCTCTCCAATTAGTCGGTGGCGGTTGAGTTCAACTCATGCCAAGAACCATGAACGCATACGCTACGCGTTGCGCTCTTTGCCCCGCCTGCCACGCCTTTCAAGTCGGGAAAAATTGATTACACAAGCTCAAGTAATGTTTAAAATACATATTTCATATTAATTAAAAACTACACGGAATCCCAAAAAAGTTGTATCATAAAGTCAAACCTCTCAAGAAGGCGACTTATCTTTGCCCACATGCTTCTAGTGATTTAACTGTTTAAAAAATTCCAGCTTCTTTTCAGAAATAAATTTTTGAAAAAAATTCAGGGTTTTGGTTTTTGCCATCTTTTTATCGATTCCTGTCGCATCATTGCTGATGATTCACATGATCGTGTACATAGGGTATCATATTGCCCCATCACCACTTCTCAATATTCTCATTGATTTTTTCACAAAGCCGTACTATGTAAGTTTATTCTTTTTCGAAAAGCTACCGCACCCTTCTGAATGCCTTAAGATTTTGTGAAAGATTTTTTCAGCTTAACTTTGACCTTAACTGTTTAAAGTTTTTTTTTTCTAATTTTTAATTCTGTAGGATCTATGTTTCAAGACTCGAGATGTCAGAAATTCCTGTTTCATATGGATACTCTCGTTTTCAAATTCTGTTTAACTTATTTGTAAATTCAGAAATATTTCCCACTCCTTCGAGTCATAATGAATGCTACATTGTTAAAAAAAACCACCAAGTCATAATTTTTCAATATGCAAAAAAACATTACTCCAAGTTGAATAATTAAATCAAAATACGGAAAAAAATTCCACATTTCAAATCTTCCTTCAGGTTGCTTTTGCCGTCAAGATGACTTTTGGTGGTATCCACAATTTGTGGATACTTACTTATTTTGTGGAGTATCAAAAAGAAAAACGTCCATGTCTTCAATATCTACTACTCGAAGTCATAGAAGTATTGTTTTGCAAGCTCTACCGATATCGATTTATTCTTTTTGTAAGTCCAAAAACAACCAAAGAATATCCAAAACGGAATAAAACGCCAGATTTCATCTTTCGACAGATTTTTTTCCTATTCTTAAAAATATAACGATGTGTCACTTTTTTTGTTCTTGGCTTCATTCTGTTTATTTCCTGCTTCCTTATGTCAGGTTCTGTGTTTTTTTATTATTCTAAACTATTTGAATTTCAGGTTACGTCGTACCTTTCTCTTTCATTATCGGGAACTCGCGAAAGCGTAAGATGTTTTTTTCTTTAATGCGATTGGAGTTTATTTATAAATCCCAACAAAGGCCGCAAACGATGTTAACGGCAATAAAAAAATATTCATGTGAAGGGCTCTGTTATAATAAACTGATTCATTTTTTGAAACGAGCTTGAAACAAAAAAAGGAATCAAATTTTATTTACAAAACGACGAATAAAAAGATTTACTTGCGAGCCTCTAAAAAAACTGATAACGCATGTTTTTTTGGTAAAAATATCAAAATTGGAGCTTTTTCCAAGGTTTTCGATCCGCGCTAATCTGCATCTATTGTTTACAACAGTTAAACTAAGCGTTGTATGTTCTAAAAAGCCCTAGCTTTCAAAAAAGGTCACGAAACTGTTCGAAAAATTTCTGAGATTTTCAGGAAATTTTTTTTCCTGCTGTGATCTTGCATCTCCTAAGAAGCAACATAAACGCAAAAAGAAACGAAAACGAAACCTGCTCTTAAGAATATTAAGAATTTTTGAAGATTCAGTCGTTTTCAAGTTGGTCGCGTTCTCCGAGATGGAGGTCAACTGGATCACCCCAAATTTGGCTAGGCGGCTATTTTTTCCATACTCACAAGACCCTAACACGTCGATTAAGAAAATAAAAATCCACGGCATCGGGGGTTCCTGACCAAGAAAAACAAAGAAGTATCGAAAAATCGTCAATTTCAAAAATAATTCGATTTTTTTCTGGAGGAAGGAAATTTTTCTCGGAGTCGCTATCAACACAAAAAATGCTCAAAATGGCATATTATTTACGTTAAAGTTGGTTTAAACCAATTTGCTCCACCAGGAAAAAAGTTAGCTTTTTATGGTATTTTCTCTACCGTAACCCTGAAAGTGGGCGGAGCTTCTAAAACTCAGGTTTTATGAGTTGAAGAGGTTGTGTAGTATCTCTGATAGCAAAACGAGTTCTAAGGAACCAACTTGAAATTCTTGTACCAAGAGATTTTTGAAAATCTCAGAGAACGTGTGTTAAACTTCTGGTAAAAAACGCCTTAACCTTTTGATCAAGACCTTTTGAATTAGTTTGGCTCCAGTCCTTAACCCCGTAATGGCTAGACTCGAAAAGTAACAAATATCTATCCTCTCAGGGCTTTCTGGTTTTCTAATGCTAATTCATTTCCTTATGAGTACACAAATGTTCCAATTTCTTTGATTCATCTTAAAATTTTAAAATATGCAAAAAAACTTCACTCAAATATTAAAACTTATAAACATCAAATTACAAGAAAAGCCGCTGGTTTCGAGTTTCCAGGTTGCTTTTTGCCGTCAAGATGACTTTTGGTGGTATCCACAATTTGTGGATACTTACTTATTTTGTGGAGTATCAAAAAGAAAACGTCCATGTCTTCAATATCTACTACTCGAAGTCATAGAAGTATTGTTTTGCAAGCTCTACCGATATCGATTTATTCTTTTGTAAGTCCAAAACAACCAAAGAATATCCAAAACGGAATAAAACGCCAGATTTCATCTTTCGACAGATTTTTCCTATTCTTAAAATATAACGATGTGTCACTTTTTGTTCTTGGCTTCATTCTGTTTATTTCCTGCTTCCTTATGTCAGGTTCTGTGTTTTTTATTATTCTAATCTATTTGAATTTCAGGTTACGTCGTACCTTTCTCTTTCATTATCGGGAACTCGCGAAAGCGTAAGATGTTTTTTTCTTTGATACGATTGGAGTTTATTTATAAATCCAAGCACAGGCCGAAAAAGAATCTAACTGCGATCAAAAACATTCATGTGAAGGGCTCTGGTATAATAAACTGATTCATTTTTTTGTTTTGATATAAAAAAATTTTTAAAAAGCGTTGAAAGAAGTTTGGGAAAATTTTTTTATAAAAACCGCGAGACCGTTGATGTGATAAAAAAACGAGTGAAATCGAGTTTTTTTGTGTTTAGAAAGTGCTGTGGTCTTTTAAATGTATGCATGCTTTTTCGAAATTCGCGAGGTTCTGAACACCAAAAAAACTATCGAAAACCCCATTATTAAAAAAATCTATCTGTTTTTTTAGCTTCTAGTAATCGTTCGAATTCAGGTTTTTTTCGTGTTCATTTTTTTGCTGATCCTCATCTTTGGGCATTGCTCTACCAATTCAATGATGAAAAACAATCTTTATCTTGTTTTTTAACGCTATATATATATTTCAAAAACAACGCTATATATATATTTCAAAAATCCTTCTTCTGTTCGATCCAGTCAATATAGCCCTTACTCCCGAAACTTGACTGGGAATACGGAGAAAAGTAAAAAACTTTCATTGGATGGAATTTGCATCAGAATCGGCGATATTCGATTATCTGAATGACAAAATGGATAATAACTACCTCACATTTTTTGTTTCGTTTGTGGCCATTCAATTCGTAATTATCGCTGCTCTTCACCTAATATTCATCGGGATTCTTATAAAATGTTATCCAGAAGACAAAAAGGTAAGAATAGTTTCACTACCAGTTGGTCTGGCAGTTCAATTTAGTTGGTATCTTTGAATTTTGTGAAAACTTGCCCAAAACTTTTCTGAAAATCTAGAATAAGATTCCGCATAGTCGCTAATCGCGTGAGATTTTAGCTTTGAAAATAGGAAATTTCAAAGTTCGCTGTTAACAAAAGAACCAGGCTGGAAAACCCATATTGCACAAATTTGAAGCTCACGTCTCAAAAAACGAAAGGAATCTTGACCTAGACCTTCATTGTGAAACAACGATATTAGAAAAACTATTGGTGAGAAAAAAAGATTTTTTTCAATTTTTCAGTTCGACTACTATTCCGCTATACTATGTATGGAACTCGTGAGCCTTCTTGGCTTCGCAGGGTTTTTTATAGTGATGCATGGAATTTATATGCACTACTTTTTGAACTGGTTTTATTTTCTCTGTTTTTTCTTTTCCTTGCTCAGCCCACACACTCTGGTATTTATCGACGCCGTTTTATGCCTTCATCGAGTTTTCACTTTTTACGAGATCGGGGAAGGATTCCGAAAAAAACTAAAATGGTAAGATTTGAGGAATGATGAACCAAAATCTAAGAAAAAAAAATACCCACTCGTTTTGCCCACATCGAAAAAATTAGATCGAAAGTTTTTATGATAACAAAAGGTTTTGGAAAATTACTGATATAGACGGCAAGACATGACAGACACAGACTTGGAGTTTGTAGAAATTTATTTTAACTCGTCTCAAATTTCCATCAGAGCCAGTTTTCAGTTTTTTGGTACTTGCAATTTTTTCATCGGTGCCTTTCGCGATAGTACTAATAGTTTACATGGGCTTGTACATATCTTTCCGTATTTTTCCAACTTCGACCGTGAACGAAATGATTGACTCCATCCTTCAGTCATATATTGTGAGTTTGTCTTTGAAAAATAAAACTGAATCTGAATTTCCAGATTTCTCTCACCGTAAAAATGACACTGGTTGTGTTTACGATTTGTGGTTATCTACTTATTTTGTGTAGTATAAAGAAGCAAATGGCTAATTCCACAGTCGCTACTCCTCGGAGCCATAAAACAATAGTTCTGCAAGCTCTTCCAATCTCGATTTATTCATTAGTTAGTTTGGAAACCCCCAAATCTGATACACAATTTAAAACTAAAGATTGCGTCGTTCGACAGGTTCTTCTTTTTCTTGAACTTCGAAAATATGCACCTACTTATATTTGGCTCGATCTTGTTCCTTGCGAGCATATTCGCTTCAGGTTCAGTTATAAAAAAGCGAACAAAGTAATAAATATCAATTTCCAGGTTATGTAGTACCCATATCATTTATTATCGGAAATTCGCAGAAGCGTAAGATGTTTTTGTACATAATACGATTGGAGTTTTTTAAAAAACTCAATAAAGAGCGAAGATTAACGTTGTCTGCGATTGTACCATTTCACGTGTAAATAAAATAATTCATCGTTTGATATCCTTCTTCGAATTTCTGTTGATTTTTTATTGTTCAATCAAGTCTTTTTTTTCTGTCGTGGAAATAACGGAATGATAATTGATCATTATAAGCCCAGAAAATACAGAAGACAGACTAAAAACATAAAGACCAAGTAAATAGCTTTGTTATGATATATAGAACCTTACTCACCCATTTAAAGTTTTGAGCTTTGTCTGTGAAAAAAAAAATGTCGATAAAAATGAAATCATGGCCTTCATATTAAAGCAACAATGACAAATTTCACTATGATTCATATTTCTTCTAGACTAACTCCTTGTAGGATCCAATTCTTCTAACGGCTGCCATAATTTCAGTTTTTTGCGTATTTTGCGAATTTTCTCAGACGGAAACAAAACGTCAAGTTTCTGAAGGTATTTCTACTTTAAAATAAAAAATGCAGAAAGCCTGTGTTCACGGATCACGTTTTCTAAGGATACAGTGACTTATATATTAGTCCTCGAAACCGCAAAAAAATAGTTTATTGTTTTTTTAAAAAAATTGAATTTGAAATTAACGCATGAATCCTGCAAAAATGCAAAAATAGGAAAAAAAAGAAACCTGAGCACCAAAAACTACCGAAAACCCCATCATTAATGATCTATTTGTTTTTAGCTTCTAGTAATCGTTCGAATTCAGGTTTTTTCGTGTTCATTTTTTGCTGTTCCTCATCTTTGGGCATTGCTCTACCAATTCAATGATGAAAAACATTCATTACTGCGTTTACAATAAGTACATAAAAAGCAGGTTATCTCCGCAAATTTTCAGTGGTACACTGCTCCGAACTTTTGAAAGGACCTAACATTTATAGTTACCTATTTCGAATAAAATAAAGCCCCAAATTTCAAAGATCTTCTCTCATCGTTTAATTCTCTTCCTTCAGTTTAAATCCGATTTAAAAAGTTCCAAACTCTGAAACTTGTCAAATACGGAGAAATAACTGGAAAAATATTTCTTTTTGAATGAGCCTTGCATCAGAATCGGCAATTTATGATTATTTGTACGACAAAGCAGATCCTGGCTACCTAAAATGTTTCCTTGCGCTTGTGGCCGCGCAGTTCGTTATTCTTGCTGCTCTTCATATAATATTCATCGGAATTCTCATAAAATGTTATCCAGAAGACAAAAAGGTAAGTCTCGAAATGTGATCAAATTTGAAACGCCGCTGGCGAGTAGACCTTTCAAATCGATGTGAACCCGAAAAATCGTTTCTTGTTCGGAGCAAGCATAACACTTTTCATCTTAACGGAGTCAAAGCTAAAAAAAATTGAGATAACAAAAAAAACTTTCAGTTCGATTACTATCCCGCTATAATATGTATGGAGTTCGTAAGTCTCATCGGCGTTGCGGGATTTTTTATAATGATGCGTGGAATTTATACGCCTAGCACTTTGAACTTGTTTCACACTCTCTGCTTTTTCTTTTCCATGGTCAGCCCTCACACTCTGGTATTTATCGACGCCGTTTTGTGTCTTCATCGAGTTTTCACTTTTTACGAGATCGGGGAAGGCTTCCGCAAGAAATTGAAATGGTAGGCTCTATTTAAATTAAGAGATGGGACCTGACAGGACAGACATTGAGTTCGTAGGAAATCATTGATATTATTCTCTGTTTTTTTCAGCATGATTTTTGAAATTTTCCAGGTTTTTGGCGCTTGCAATTTTTTTATCGATACCTGTCGCATTGTTTTTAATAGTCTACATGGGCTTATACATTTCTTTTCGAATCACTCCAAATCCGACCGTGAGCGGCATTATTGACTCTATCATTCAGCAGTATTATGTAAGTTTCATTTTTCAAATCGATGACAGAAATTCCCACCTAACGTTTTTCTTTTCATTTCTAGTTTACTAAATTCAATATAATTCTCTGTATTCAAGTCCATTTGTCAAAATCTCTGGTTTAGGTGAAAATCGCACGTTTCTTTAAAAAATTTGTTTATTCTGAGATTTAAGGTTGCTTATACCGTGAAAATGACACTGGTTGTGTTTACGATTTGTGGTTATCTACTCATTTTGTTTAGTATCAAGAAACAAATGGCTGATTCCACAGTAGCTACTTCTCGGAGTCATAAAACAATTGTTTTGCAAGCTCTTCCAATCTCCATTTACTCTTTTGTAAGTTCAAAACACCAAAAAATAAAAAAAAGGTGCAAAACTGCAGTTTGCGTCGTTCGATAGGTTTTTTTTCTTCCTAAACATCGATGGATTGCATCTACTTCTGTTGGGCTCCAACTTATTTCTTGCAAGTATTTTCGCGGCAGGTTCCGTTGAAACAATAATCCTCAAATAAATATCAATTTCCAGGTTATGTGGTGCCTATGTCGTTTATCATTGGCAACTCGCAAAAGCGTGAAATATTTCTGTACATAATACGGTTGGAGTATTTCAAAAATCTCAAAAAAGAGCGAAGATTGACGTTGTCTGCAATCGCACCAATTATTGTGTAAAATTCTGGCCCAATAAAGTGTTTTATTGCCTTTTTTTTCATTTTTTTTTCATTTTTTTTTCTCAATTATTTTTTCAAAAGTCTGATGTGTCCTATATCATCAGTCACGTAGACGGAGGTTTATTTTTGTCAGAACAAAAAAAACTTTAAAAACTCCAACCTTCTATATGTAAATTTTATCAATCCTTTTAAAGCAGAACTGACAAAAAAAAAATCAAAATTCGTCTTTCACGAATCTTCATCCATAAATAATTGGAAGAGCAAATTCTATGACATTCAAAGCTCTGAAAATCGGTCAAGGAATTTTCTTTGCGCCTTGATCAATTGTTCTGAAAGAATCAGAATTATATATTTAGTTTCTCTTCTGAAAATTACCATTCCTCTCAGCAGACCATTAAAAATTTTAAAAAGTAACTAAATTGTTTTATGTTTAATTTTTTGTATTTGTCGTGCAGATTGCGGAATGGCGAATGAACATTTGAAAAAAATGACATCGAACGTGTTTTTTATTCAAGTTTCCGGCTTTCACTGAAGATAACTACGTGAGAAAAGCGAGATCGGTGGATTACATCGACGTCCTCGCAAATCACGGCGTTTTTTTTAAATACGCAAGTCAAGTCTTCTCGTAAATTATGATGCTTAGGGGGTTACTGGTAAACTGGATAATGACTTGTGCCTAATAGAAAAACGTCAAACGAAGTATTAATAAACTAAAAAGCCAAAAAAATTTGTTTTTTTAAATCAAGCTTTTCCGTAAATCCTGAGAGATCTTTGGAGGGTGGGCCTTGTAATACAATAACGAGTCCTGAACAGATCAAAACTACAGTAGTCGTACGACTTACTGCGCCCGCCCCTGGTAATTTTTTTTCTGCATTTTCTTTCGCTGACAAGAACGCCGCGAAACACTATTTGGACGCCGCGCCGGACTCGCATTTTTTCCTGGCGCGACATCGTATTTCTCTTGCTTTTCTGAAGCATTAAAAAAAATGAAGTTTCCAAAATACGACTTCGTACCGAGAAAAATGCGAGATAGCGACAGGGCAATTTCAAAACCGCCGCGGCTACAAAGCAGCCCTCCTGTGAAGTCGTCAATCTACCGCCAGCGGCATCGCTCGGCAGTTAATCTTTGTGAGAAATTTTTTTCAAAAATTTCAAACATCAAAAATTATCGAAACCCTATTATTTAAGATTTATCTGATTTTGAGCTTCTGGTAATCGTTCAATTTTAAGTTTTTTTTTCCTTATTTATTTTCACTCATCTTTGGGCATTGCTCTATCACTTCTTGAAAAACAATCATTATAGCCCTAAGCTTTTAGCGCTATATATATACGTATGTATGTATATATATTGAAAACGTCTTCACTTGCGAGTAAATTCCGTCAACTACCCATTCTACACTGTTTTAATAGCCCGAAACTCAAAAATTCGGCTCGAAACGACAGAAGAAAGAGCTGAAAATATTTTTCTATCAAGATGGAACCTGATTTAAAACCGGTAGTACACGATTTTGTGAGCCACAGGGTACATCCTGGTGACTCAACAATTTTTGATGCATTTGTTTTTTCTCAACTTGTAACTATCGCCGCTGTTCACGTAATCTGCATCGGGATACTTATAAAATGTTATCCAGAAGACAAAAAGGTAAGAATAGTTTCAATAGAATATATTCTTTTTGACTCACTAAGCCATGCTTTTTTTGATAGTATATATAGAGATTCCGACCGTGATAACTGATAGAAAAAAACATTAGCAACGAATCAGGTTAGGTTGAGTTTTTTTCAGTTACAACTTTGATCAAAGTGACCGAAAAAAATTCATCGCGAAAATCCACATCTCCAAAAAAAACTTTTCAACAACTTTTTGATATAAATATTCGAGAAAAATTCGTTTTAGTTTCGATTACTATGCCGCTATAATATATATGGAGCTGGTAAGTCTACTCGGCTTCGTGGGATTTTCCGGAGCTATTTATAAGATGTATATGTATTCCGAAATAAACGGGTTCGGTTTCCCTTGTTTCGCTATTTCTATAATCAGTCCTCACACATTAGTATTTATCGATGCCGTTCTATGTCTTCATCGAATTTTCAGCTTTTTCGAAATCTGCAAAGGCTTTCGCAATAAATTGAAATGGTGAGTGTTCACAATAATAATGTTCTCCATTTCTACTGTGCAAAAACACAAATTTCGTTTCGCCTTAAAAAGTTTTTTTATAGCAAAAAAATAAAAAAATGAAAAGTCACACTAGAGTAAACTAGAGGTTTTTTCTGCGTTATTGCCCTCACACATTTCTAGACTTTAGTTTTTTCTCGAAAAGTTCCAAACCATTTTTCAGGATTTTGGCTTTTGCAACCTTTTTATCGATACCTGTTGCAATGATGCTGATAATTTACATGGGCTTGTACATCGCTGATAAAATTGTTCCATCTATGGCTTTCAACACCACGAGTGAAGATATGATTCAGCCGTATTATGTGAGTTTTTTCTCAGCTCGAAGATTAGTTCATGAAATGAAATAGTAAAACCATTTTACAAAACTTGATACCAGAATTCATGCTTTTGAGTTTTTAAAACCGTACTACAAGTTGAAAACTTTTTTTATTCTACGCTTCCAGGTTGCCTATACCTTTAAAATGACACTCGTCGTGTTCACAATCTGTGGTTATCTGTTCATTTTGTGGAACATCAAGAAGGAAACTTCTAATTCTTCAGTTTCAACTGCTCGCAGTCACAAAAAAATTGTTCTGCAGGCTCTTCCGATATCGATTTACTCTTTTGTAAGTTCAAAAAGCCAAAAAATAGAAAATGGGGCAAAAATGCAGATTTCTTCGTTCGACAGGTTTTTTTTCTTCCTAAACTACGAGAATACGCCACTACTCTTATGGGGTTCAATATTATTTCTTTCGAGCATGCTCATGTCAGGTTATATTAAAAAAGTTTCTCCAAAATAAACTTCGAGTTTCAGGTTATGTAGTACCCATGTCGTTTATCATTGGCAATTCGCAAAAACGTAAAATTTTTTTGTACATAATCCGTTTGGAGTTTTTGCAGAAGTTCAAAAAAGAGCGGAGGTTAACGTTTTCTGCGATCGTACCATTCGTAGTTGTGACACAATAAACTGATTGAATTTTTTTTTGTGAAATTGATGGTTGACAGGAACATTGTAAAGTTGAGACCGAGAAGGAAAAGGGAGGTGACATATTTATGTGTTTGAAACGCAACTTATTCTGGAAATAGAACTGTTGTTTGAATCTCGGAAAAAAAACATTTACATAAATGGAAAGCTGGGGTGCTGTCTCTCCCTACCAGAAAAAATAAAACTTTTAGCCATTGTTTTGCAATAATTTTATTCGGAAATATGCTATGGAAATGAAAACGGCTTCTCTACAGAGTTTAAAACTGAGTCGACTGAATAAACCTTTATACTATCACATGGGCACAGAGCGTGTGAAATTCTTCACGAAACCTTCAAGAAAGACTAGATTTTAAATAATGTCAATTTATTTCGTTTCAAATCTTCTCACATTTTTAACAAGTTCTGAGAAGCTTTCCAAAGATTTTTCCTCATACCCGAAGAAAGATCTCTGCTTTCAAATTTTGGCCGAGTTATGAGCTCAAAAATTTGCGTTTCAATGCATTATAGTGAAGTTTAAAACTTCTAAGAGCTATAACTTGGCAACGTTGGAAGAATGCTGTAGTTTTCCTACAATTTCTAATATACAAGAAAAAAATAGTTTCGTACTCAGAAAAATAAGAGAAGGCGCCGAGGAAAATGCAAAACCACTGCGGCTACAAAGCAGAACTTTTGTGAAGTCGTCAATCTACCGCCAGCGACATCGTTTTTATCTCGGAAGTTATTCTTAGTGTGGAATTTTCCAAAACTTAAAACACCAAAAATTATCGAAACACCAGTATTCAAGAATTATCTGTTTTGGGTGTCTAGTGATCGTTCAAATTTGAGTTTTGTTTTCCTTATTATTTTTGCTCATCTTTGGGCATTGCTCGATTACTTTCTGGAAAACAGCATTATAGCCTTCTAACGCTATAAATATTGAAAATTTCTTCACTTGCGAGTGAATTCCGTCAACTACACCTTCTGCACTGTCTAAGGCACGAAACGACAGACACGATAGCTGAAAATATTTTTCTATCAAGATGGAACCTGAAATAAAACCGGCGGTATACGATTTTGTGAGCTACAAGATAAATTCTGGTGATTCAAAAATTTTTAATGCATTTGTTTCATTTCAACTCGTAACTCTCGCGGCTCTTCACGTAATCTTCATCGGGATACTTATAAAATGTTATCCAGAGGACAAAAAGGTGAGAATAATTTCAATATAGTATGGTCAATTTGAATCATCAAGCCATCACTTTTGATAGTATAAATACAGACATTGAAATCGTTATAACTGATAGAAAAACATAAGCAAATAATCAAGTATAATCAGGTACAGGTATAAATAATAGGTTGGAATCAGTTTAAAAACAAAAAGTTAATCAACGTTACCGGAAAACTATTCGAGAAATTCATACCTCCAAAAACTTTTTTTATATGAATTTCGGAGAAAAAAACTTGTTTCAGTTTGATTACTATGCAGCAATAATATACATGGAGCTCGTAAGTCTACTCGGCTTTGCGGGATTTTTCGTAGTTATTTATGAGGCGTATATGTATTCTGATTTAAACTCGTTCGATAGCCTATGTTTCTTTATTTCCATGGTCAGCCCTCACACTCTCGTATTTATCGACGCCGTTTTGTGTATTCATCGAGTTTTCACTTTTTACGAGATCGGGGAAGGCTTCCGCAAGAAATTGAAATGGTAGGTGTTCACAATGATAATTTGCTCCTCTCCTTATTTGCAAAATTGAGGTTTTGTTTCGCACTGAACTTTTTTTAGTAGAGCTTTTCTTTCTGCGTTGCTGCCCTTGAACTTTTCTAGATTTGAGTTTTTCTCCGAAAAGTTGCAGAAAAACTTACAGGATTTTGGCTTTTGCAACTCTTCTATCGATACCTGTTGCAATGTTGCTGATAATCTATATGGGCTTGTACATCGGTGATAAAATTGTTCCATCTTTGAATATCGGCCTCATGATTGAAGTTATGATTCAGCCGTATTATGTGAGTTTTTTTCCAAGATATGATTTCAAAAACTCTTATTATAATATTTTTATATAATAAGCTACCTTCACCCAGAAGACGAGTTCATCAAATGAAATAGATTCTATGTAAGATTGTTTGTTCGCAAAACGAAAGTTCGCTCTTGTTTGATTCGGTCGAAAATTATCTTAATCCTGAGTTTGCAGGTTGCTTTTACCATAAAAATGACACTGGTTGTATTCACGATCTGTGGTTATCTGCTCATTTTGTGGAGGATCAAAAAGGAAACGTCTAAGTCTTCAGTTTCAACTACTCGAAGTCACAAAACAATAGTCTTACAGGCTCTTCCGATCTCGATTTACTCTTTTGTAAGTTCAAAAAGCCAAAAAATAGAAAAAATGGTGAAAAACTGCAGATTTCTTCCTTCGACAGGTTTTTTCTGTTCCTAAACTACGAGAACGCGCCACTACTTATATGGGGCACAATTTTATTTCTTTCAAGCTTCCTCATGTCAGGTTAGCCTAGACATTTTTTCAAAGAAAATTTGGAGTTTCAGGTTATGTAGTACCTATGTCGTTTATTATTGGCAATTCGCAGAAACGTAAAATGTTTTTGTACATAATCCGTTTGGAGTTTTTGCAGAAGTTCAAAAAAGAGCGAAGGTTAACCTTGTCTGCGATCGTACCATTTTTATAGTTGTGACACAATAAACTGATTGAAACTTTTTGTGAAATCGATGGTTGACAGGAACATTGAAAAGTTTGGATCGAGAAGAAAAAGTTAGGGGAAGCTAAGATGCATTATTATAGAAGAATGGAAGCGCTGAGTTTTCAAGAAAGACGACATAATTATGTGTTCAAAATTTAACTTCTTCTGAGAATAAAACTGTTATATAAAACTCAAAAAAACAAAACAATTTTTATTCGGGAGTGTACTATAGAAACAAAAACAGCAACCAACCTATCTACAGAGCTTTGAATGAACTGAGTCAACTGAATGGGTCTTCACGAAACCTTCAATTTCAAGATAGACTGGATACTTTTTAATAATTTCAATTCATTTCATTCAAAATCTTCTCACATACTTGGTGTTACGAGAAGTTGTCTGAAGATTTTTCTTCATACCCGAAAGAAAGATCTCTGCTTTCAACTTAAGGTCAAGTTATGAGCTCAAAAATATGTGATTCAACGCTTTACAGCGCAGTTTAAGTCTTCTAAAAGCTATAATTTGGCAAAGTCAAAAAAAAAACGCTGTAGTTTTCCTACAATTTCTCATATGACAATTTTTCCACCTTGTGACTAGAGTTTGCTATTCTCGAACATATTTGTGTTGAAAAAAAACTTCGCGAGTTTACACCTGTCAAAAGGCCGTACCTTGTGATTTTAGGTTGCAGCTGCAAAGAAAAGAGCAAAAACGACAGTTTTTTTCGAAATGGAACTCGAGTCGTTGGGAAGTTATTTCTCGAATAAATCAAATAGTTCCGGAAGCTTCTATTGGAACTCTTTTACTGCGTTCATGGGTGTTCAATTCGTGCTTCTCGCTCTTCTACATATTATATTCATTCGAATTCTTGTAAAGTGTAATCCAGAAGACAAGAAGGTGAGACTGATGTTTGGAATAAAAAAACTCTTCGTTTTAACTCTTCGATTTTCATTTATTGCTTTTACGAGATATTACCTGAACATTCAGACTAATTATAAAAAGCGGACATCTTGAAAAAAATGAACGAGAAAAAAACCGTTGTTTCAGTTTGATTATTATGCGGCCGTGCTATGGATAGAATTAATAACTTTATTTGGCTTCACTGGTTTGACTATCACGTTCGTAGGAGGGTATATATTCCACTTAATAAACTTGTTTCTGGCTTTTTGCTTCGTTATTTCTTTAATTTGCCCCTACTCTCTCATATTTATCGACGCCGTTTTGTGTCTTCATCGAGTTTTCACTTTTTACGAGATCGGGCAAGGCTTTCGCAAAAGATTGAAATGGTAAGAATCGAGTCAGTGTTCTATAGTTACTTCCATGCACAGCTAGACAGCTACTTCCCCACATCAGTTCACTTTGCTTCCTCTCATAAATGTGACTCTGAGCATAAAAATCGAGATATTGAAAAAAAAAAAACTAGACGGTGAAACCAAAGTTTTCCCAAAATTTTTAGGTTTTTGGTTCTTGCAACAGTTTTGTCGATGCCCATAGCAATAATCATGTTTCTGTATATGATGGCCTACATAGACTTCCAAGTTATGCAACTTCCATTTCTCAGTCATTTGACTGAGGCTCTGAAAAGCCCTATTACGTGAGTTGCCGCCTAAAAGTGAGAAAAAGTTCTTTTTCTTTCTGAACAAAAGGTTCGTCGAGAGTAATTTGAGGAAGTTCGACAGAAATTAGGTTGAAGAAGCTATAAAAAAAACTCAAAAGCCTATTCGACTTTAAAACGGCCTCAAGTTAATTTGTTTTTAGATCGAATGTTTTCCATCCCCCATTCAGTCCCAAAAAGATTCATTTTAATTCCAGGTGGCCTTGACTGTGAAGATGACGATAATTTTATTGACACTATGGGGCTATGTACTCATTTTGCAAACTATCAGAAAGAAAACACCTTTAATTTCAGTTTCTCACAACCGTAGTCACAAGACTATCATTCTGCAGGCTTTGCCCATATCGATTTATTCTTTTGTCCGTTTGAAATTTTCAAGAACAAACGAAAATTGAGGAAAACTACAGATTTCTTCATTCGACAGATTTTTCGTTATCCCACCCTACGGTAATGATTTATTGATACTAGTTAGTGCGATAATGTTCGTTTCAAGCATTCTCGTCTCAGGTTTGCAACTTTTTCTCATCTGTTTTCAGAGATAGCTTGCAGGTTATGTTGTACCGTTGTCATTTATCATTGGCAACTCGCAGAAGCGTAAGATGTTCTTGGCTGTGATACGTTTGGAGTTTATTAAAAATTTCGAAAGAAGGCCAAAGCCGACGTTGACTGCGATCAAAACCATTAATGTGAAGGGCCCT